ATCAAAACTGGAGAGACAACATGATTTTCAATACCTTATGATTTATTTATTCATTAATTCTCATGGATGGCAAAATGAGCCGCGAGTATTTCCTTTACTATTTTAATTCTTATGTACGCAGAAAATTGACCAAAATTATTAATCACAGAAATGCAAAGTGTCTCGACAGTCCTAAACAACACCATCCGACCATCGGATAAAATAATTTCTCGTATATTTTCTTCTTTCCTGAACACATTACAGAAAGAGTCGCGGTATATATATATGACGCGACCAGAAGTAATTACGTATATCATTAACGCCCACGTTCACCCTCAGAGCGTCTCCGTTTTGACACCGCGCGAATGTGACATCCTACGCGGCGTCAGACGCACTAGACCGGATATCCCTCCCCCGCCCAGCCGGGACGCTTCATTTCATTGCTCCACTTCATTGCTAATTTCAGTTGCGTCATTCATTGCTCAATAGAAATACATCTCTCATTCGTTCATCCACAGTTACATAATGAAAAATCATCATCTGGCGGTAGGAGACCTTTACTGGGGAATTTAACTACTGCTATACTCTTCTGACTAGTTATCGGAGGTTATTATAAGTCAACCAATCGATACTTTAGAAGCGTTTTGAAGAGTTATGGAACAAAATCCTCGTTCAAAATGCAGTTTGACACGTAGAGTCCACTGTATATTGTAAAACGGAGTCCAATAGTCATCGGAAGCCTTTAGTGAAATAACTGAGATTAATTGTAATTTGTTGTGTCAGTTTTTCACTGGGTTTCTCAGTTCAAATCGGATCGTTTAAAATGTTTATTTATGTCTTTGTCGTTACTGTAACTTAAGACGGTTTAATATGTACTTACGTACTACGTGAGCAGTGTAGATGTATGACAGAGTCCGTTCGACCCCCGTTTGATTTGCCGGGCAGGTGTGATGTCGAAAGTTTTTTCGAAACGGGCGCCCGCACAGTCTTCGAGCTGGTGTGGTTAGTGTACTTAGAGGGCGGGGACTGTGTGTTCTGTCGCCAAACTACCGATCTCGAACTGACCGATATTACTAACTAACCGACTGCGAAGGTGCTTTCGAACGTCTCAAAGTTTTCAACTTGTAACCGAGTGAAAACGTCGGACTTGCGGTCCTTTCGAGGCGGAGACGATGGGTGTTAAGTCAAGCCGCTTTTCGCTCCGTTGGACTGGAGTGGGTAAGTTTCACTACCCGTCTGCGCAACCTTTGGCAAAACTTCGACAGCTTCGACATCACACCTGTCCGCGCATTGTCGAGGTGGTGACTTCGCGTGACTCGTTTGGGACATGTTTGTTTGGGAGTTTCATGACCTGGCTCTTTGGATTGCGAGGGAGTGACGATCGTAGGAGTTGTTCTCGTATGGTGAGGCTCAACCTCTTCTAAATTATTTTCATATCCTTGTAGCAAGACCAAATCGTTTTAGGACGTGTTATGTCGGGGAGGTTGAGAATTGAGTACACCAATGAGTTGCATTGTTGTGCGTCTGACTGGTGATTCTTCGAGTGTGCACGGCTGATAGTCAGGCGTAAGTCCTTTCTCATGAAAACCAGTCAGTAGTAAGAACCAGTGTAGTTATTTTGACCTTAAGAGATGGTGGAGTGTTTAGTTCTGTATGTATGTGTATGGTGGAAGTGTCGAGTGAATTTTTGTACGCAAGTGACTCTTGATGTGACGTGTGTGATCAGACACAACTCATACCGCATCACACAATCGTACACACAATGTACAACACAAATCGTACAACACTAGTCCTACAACGGGCGAGCAAGACAATACCCTAAACACTACACGATATGACACTGTAGCATGACATTACATCATTCGCACACTAAAAACAATATAAAATAGGAGTGTGGCCATAGATGAACAGAAGGAGGAAAAAATAAATAAAAATATATAAAAAAAATATTGATTAAAACAACTATATAACATTAAAATTCCCACAGATAATGGTAGACCGGGCCCCTTTGTCGACCTTAGATCGGTACGCCGATTTCGACCGTGGTAAATGACAAAAACACTGTCAAGAGCTACCCCTCGACAGGTGCTGCGATATTTGATTTATTTGACTTGATTTTGTTAGTCATCGTGCATTGCGGGTGTGTTTGACGTCTTGTGAAGAAACCCTTGTGAGGTTACTAACTTAAGGTAATTTTAGTCCTCTGTTTTTATGCTTGTAATATACGTCTGCTGTCTGCACCAAGTCTTTGGTCTTTAATAATCTTTGTCTGGTAATTCCGTTTTATATTTCAAAGCTACCTGACCGGCAGTTTGAGTTTGTGTTATTATACACACCCACACACACACACACAAATAAATAGTCCGCCCGTGTATCAAGACAGGCGACAACTTCTCGATCGTACCCTTTTCGTTTTCTGTCCAATGGAGAAACGTAGCGTCGATCAGTGTGGGGTCAATTTAGTTGTGAGCGACATTAACTGTATTAATTTCTTCAAATCGATTAGCTAGCATTGACTTTCCGACGGACGTTTGCATTGTAAGTCGGTGCACTCGAGCCGTTTGAGAACGCTCTCAAAATCGTGTTCTGCCTAGGAAGATCGGTATTTGGTTAAGTGTCCTCGACGTCGGCCCACCGACTGTAACCGCGGCCACTAGTAGTTCTAAACTGCTGCAACTAACCGCACTTTAATACAAAGCCTCCGATCAATGTCTATCTTTGTCAGTCGACGATCACCGACGACGACGTGACCAACTCCCCGACGCGAGAGAATTCCGCGGTCTGCTCTCTCACCATTACTATTGTCCCCGTTCCGGTCCCGTCATTTCGTAAACTGATAGTCATTGCAAATCTGGTTTTTTTTTTTAAGGGCAGCATTCGTGTTAAAATGTTGGTTCTAAAATAACATCTAATATGTAAAATGACTATCGGTTAATATAATATTATCGATAAAAAATTTATATATAGTATAAGAAAAAATTACACCCTTCTCCACCCCGGCCGCGGGGATCGCGGAGAGACATAGCAGAATTCCTACAATGAAGCGGTACATTGAACTGTTCAGCCGTGAGAGGGCGATCAAGAAAAGAGAGCGAGCGGCCCCGTTGAGGGAGTTTACAGATGAAAAGACACAGAAAGACAGAAGCACAATAACAACAAGTAGGCTATATTTAGGTGTTTTTTTGTAAATAACCTCCGGTATCAAGAGGAAGTAAAGTCCCCCTGGGTTGTCCCTTATACCCTAACTGCCATGAGACAACTCAAAATTAAGTTTCCAAAATCTGACACTGAGGTGGTCTTAACGCACCGGCAGATGACAGTGCTGACAAAGTGTGTTTCCCGCAGCGAGACGCTACAATACTAATTGTGGGCTTATCATGTTGATTCGGCCACAACAGAAAAAAGAAAACAAACTCTCGCTCTCTCCAGAGGGGCAGGTCAGCCAAAAATGCCAAACGGGCCATTGCCTGGGCAACATTAGCCCATACCTGTGCACGTCCCTGCAGCAGTGGATAACAGCTTCTGGCCTGGACACAGTTTGCACATCACCGTCACACTCCTGTCTATTCTTCGGACGAACTCAAAATAATGGGCATACCTCCACCCCTCGAAAGTTATCGCTGACTCAGCCATGTTTATGCAGAACTGCACGTGGAGATGTGGACGCGTAAATCGCGCAGATATAAACCTGCGGCGGAAACCCCTCTTGTATGTCAGTGTGATTATGACTGATTTTATAAAAGTAACAAAGTAACGCGTGTCGGGGCAATGTTAGTAACTGTAGTGTGATTACTGAATTATATAAGTAACGTGTTACACTACTCCGTTACCGACAAAAGTAATATTATTACAGTACTTTGTAACGCGTTACACCCAACTCTGACTGTAACTGATACCACTCTTATTCTTCAAACCCTAGTCTACACTATGCTGGCCACATTTGAGTTTGAATAAGAAGCAGACAAAGTCTGCCTAAATGTCAGTGGCTAGAAATACAACCAATTGTGTACTTCCTTACAAGTCTATCAGAGCCGAAATCTGTCTGCTCACAGAGTCAGTTTCCAACAAGAGCCACTGTAAGTTGTCTTATGGTGTATTTCTGGTAAAGTCAAACAACTGACCCGTGCCAAGATGTTTTCACTTCTACAGAAAGCACAACAGCAACTAGACATGATCTGCCAACTTGTAATAGCCTTAGCATGAGAAACTGACCATAAGTTTAAAAAAGCCAGGCCCTCAAATACTTCATAGGCCTGCTTTTGATTCCCATGTTGCTGCATAATGAATATTTGCAGGAAATGGCTAGTAAACAGTAAACCTGGCTCTATAGACATTTACTGAAATAGTGGCCACAGTTTCCGATGACAAAATAATGCCAAATAGATTACCCAAACGTTATACCTAACATGAAAGGGGCTACCTAATGCATATATAATTGAACTTCTGCCATATTAGTAAAACAATCCATCAATAGTATAGTGCCAAATCAGAGTAGGCTCTCTGCTTTCTTTTGTACTTCAATAGGATTTGTAGGAGATAGCCTACAGTCTTTGCAAATAACAGTGTTTTATTGGCTACGGCAATTTTAGCTATGCTGTCATTTAGCATAACTGCCCTTCTGAACCAAATCAACAACAAATATTCTTGGACTTTCAAGCAATATTATTGTTAACGCAGCTACTTTTGTTGTACTGTTGAGTACAAGTTATGAAGTACATTTTTGCTAACATTTAGAATTACCTATAACAAACTTTCACACGGAACTGATAGGATATTCTATTAATCTATTTGTAACATAAGCCTGTAATACATATGCAAAATTGTAAATTGCAGACATAAAAAAAATGAAGTCTCCCAAGGTTTACGTTTACTGATTTGGACTATCACACATGTTGACACTTCTGAGAGTTCTAAATACCTTAAATAATTAAATAATGTATATAAAAGTGTTTTATTATAGGCTACAACAATTTTCTTTAGAGCTGAAACATTGTATACAACCACAAATCGTATACTTCAGAATAGTAACACACATTTGTACCCATCTAAGCAACAGATTGTGCATCTGGAACCATATGCCAATGCCAGACAGCTATTGTGTTATTTGCACTGATACAAATGCTGCTTATTTACCAAGCATTAGCCGTAAGAGAACATTTTGTATGAATCAAAGAAGCAAAACTACCGCCAAACAGTGAGAGATTAGAGGTTAAGCTGAAATATTAAACTGCAATAGGAAAATAAAAACAGACTAATGTCATAGTGTCTTGGTCAGAAACTTGGAACAAAGTGACTGGGGAAAAAAATAGCAACATCTCTCACCTTGTGGCAGATATCTGTCTTGATCTCTTTCAGGGCCCTATCAGAAAAGACGCAGCCACAAGTCTGCAGGTAACAGAACCTAGGAATAGAAACATTCATGTATTTGATATTTAAAAAGGAATCTTAAAAGATTTGGACATATTCTTCCACAAAATAAGGTGCATTCCTCTAACATTGTTTGAACAAAACATTTGGACGAAATGTTATACCGGTCAGGAGAACAGTGGCATCATGCCAAATATATAAACAATGTGATAACAAATATTTGAAATGTCATCTGATGTAAATGTAACCCTTGACTGAAGATAGACTACAGTCCCCCAGATGTCAAAGTTGATCTTTAAATCAAATGGATATAATAATCACAATAAAACACCAGTCTTTAATTATTCTTATGATGTGGATCCTCTACTCTTTGTTTGTTACCTGTGCTTGCCATTCATCTCCAACCCAACAACTGGGCAAATGAACATGCCGCAGTGGAGGTCCTCATATACGTCTCCTTTAGTATTACTTCTCTCTCCCGCCCACTCAGGGTTATCAGTCAAATTCAGCTCTTTAATATCCTGCAGAGGGGATTGATAAACATGAAAAATGTGAATATGAAATCACCGCAAATCCACACAAGAGTCAACATGTCATAGCTCTGAATTTGGGAGTTTAAAACAGTGTCAACATACCTTAATCCCACGGATGTGAGTAACAACCTCCATATTGGGTCTGTCAGCAGTCTTATCCAGAAGGTATTCAATGATAGCATCTTTGTTGTAGAGTCTGAAACAAAACATGGACCGGACTTTAAGGTCATAGTGTGCTGCAATAATTGAATCTTCTACAATAAGCTTAGTTGTTTGTGACACGAACCCTCACTGTCACATAATGTAAAACACCTGTCTCCGCAGTTGTATCTGGGCAAATTATTTCTGCCTGATCGACGACTAACAGAGAGAGCCAACTCTTACCTTCCCACCTCGCAGGAAACAATGGGGCGTCTGAGTTTCTCCTGGCTCAAGGCACAGTATTTCCATTTGGCAGCTCGCTCTGCATTTCTATCAACCTGGACACATTAAACAGGCATGTAAGAGCACACCGTACAACATATACACAAATAGCAGTTAACTGTTAATTACCTATGTCTTAAGAATGTCAAGATTAAATATTTTAAACATTATATCATATATAAATGTAAGATAAATAACACGTAATGTAACCTACTATTACCAATAACGTAAGTGTTAAAAGCTAACGTTAGCTAGCTAGTTAGCTGTCGAGTAGTTAGCCAACCTTTGCGTCAAGCAACACAACACCTCACAAGACACATTTATCAATTGTCGAAAACATTTTTATAAATGGTTACTAACCTAAGATAACTGAAAGTATCGCTTCAAATTGTTTTAATTACTATCTTAACAAATAGCCAAATGCTAGCCAGCTAACAGTTAGCAACCTAAAAACAGCCACATCGCGAACAGTTATTAACTTCACATATAATAAAAATAAGCATTACACACCTTCTCTACTTTTTTGGGGCCTTTCACCAACTCGTGTCTTTTAGGAATCGTGCCACCATCACATCCCATCTTGAAAGATAAAGTTGAATCAACCGATTAGCTTACTTTGGACAAAGCTACTAAGGCAGGAAGTTCCCAGCTTGTAAACAAACAACGAGAGCTCTCCCAAACTCGCGGGATGTGCGATTGATGTAATGTCGCCCTCTAGTGACTGAATTAACCAAATCTTCAGATGTATTTTATATCTTCAGCCACAGTGTGGAAGCATCACCCCAACTATTAGTAAACTTGTTTGCATTCAACAAGCAGCAGTCAATGAGAGCTGCCAGAGCAATTGGAAGCCAGTGGGGTTAGAATTGCACCATAAAATACAAATACAAATACAAATACAAATAAACAACAGAAAGACACTAACTAATTATCCATAACGTTTAATAAAGCTTAGTCAGTCTCAGTTTGACACCAGTACTTTTTTTTGTTTCGTAAGCACAATACACTATTGTAGCCATGCATGTTAACAGAAAAAAACAACTTCACCCAGATTAATTCACTTGTTTACTGCCCATCCATCTATTAGACGTTTTTCAGTCAGCCATTAAACCCAGAACTAGTAAGTGACATTAGTCTGGCTTTCAGGCCTGTTGTCAGAGTGGTCTAAAGATGAAAGTTTCCTTGGAAGATGGTTCAATGAGTGCTAATTAGATCTGTTTCCTGTGCCTTGCAGGCTGCAGATTAGTTTACTATCGATGGCACTGTCCAAGAGCGACCATTAGTTTGGGGAATACCTCAGTGGAGACATCTCTGGCGTCATGACTGATAATCTGCAATGAAAAAAAACACTGAATAAAAACACAGCGTTTGACTTCATATTGGATAGGAAAATAGATTTGAACCTCTTTAAACTCACCACACACAGACAGCTGCTAATGTGGTTCCTAAAATGTAGTAAAACTAACAAATATAAACATAGAAACATTTCTCCATTTTGCCTGTTGGTTCGATTGGTTCTTCCTGTAATTTATAAATTGTGTTATGTGTCTTATTGAATTTCCCCCCTTTCTCACACAGAGCTAAATGTTTAGTATGGATTTTCATTAGGGCCAATGGAGTAAAAGCACTGTTAGCAAACTATCTTTGAGAGAGTGGAGCGCCCCAGGCTGATAGTGCAAACCAACACCTCAGGAACACACAATGCACAATGGCAACTGGACAAAAGGAGACGGGAACAATGGCCTTCTATCCCTGTCTTGCATGTTCTGCTGTTCCAAAACTTTAGAGCCAATAGAGATGTTTTTCCGTGATTTATAAAGGCTGATAATAAAACACACTACAAAGATCTCTTTAGAGGAAAGTTAGTCTTAGTAAAACAGTGACACATTGTTGTAATTTTCACACCAATTCAAGTTTTAGGTCAGTTCATCGGGATGCAAAAAAGTATGCAAGAAAACCAAAAAAACACAACCATAGAATCTAGAGTCTATTTTGGCATGCCATAAATTCCTCAGTTAAAGAGTTATGTGAGCTGGATAGATACAAAGTGGGAAGTTAATTGATGCTTATTTAATCTAGTTAAGATATCACAGCTTCCAAACAGAGATACATGTATTGTGTGTTGATATCACATTGCAATTAATTTGAATATGATCCTTAAGTATTCTCCGGCACTTAGAAAATGAGGCGGTTAAAAAATATATATTAGTATAGTGAGTAACCTGTGCCATTTCACATCTAAAGTAACTCCAATCCAAAGCCATGTGAATGTGTCACATGCCTATAAATCCCCACTGTTTTGATCTCCATACCCTCCAGTTTTACATTAAATCTGAAAAGTTTGCACAGCTGAAATGCAGCTTCCTTTTCCCCTAATCTCCCCCTCTGAGTGACCTCCCCACCACACATCTCTTCCTGGCCGGCTGTGGTGCTACCCAGCACGGCTGACCCAAAGAAAACCCCAACCACCAAGCGCCCATCCAACCTCATGTTTATACTTCCATGATGAGTCCAACCTGCCCAATCAGACTTCCACTGACTGGCCTTGAACTGAAACTGTATACATCTTAACCATCCCAGCCATCCGAAGCAGCCAGTGGAGACCAAGGCTGCATTAATTGCACGCACCAGCCCTGGTAGTGCACCGAGTCCAATGCATTTAGCGTTTCTAATTGGGAAGGAATTGCTGTGTTTACATTGGCGCTAGTTGATAGAGCTGGACCCTTAGCCCTCCAGCCAACTTAGCTAAAGCCCTCTGAAGGAGAAATACCATACTGCGTAGTCCCTGAAATCTCTCTGGACAGAGTTGGAAAGAAATTATTTGGAACAGAGTAGGGGAATATTTACTCATTTATCAGGTGGGAGGGGAAGAGTTGATCTTTTACTTTTGTAAGATTTTTAGGGAAAGTTGTTACTTTTTTACTTTGGCTTTCAAAGTCATCAATAATTTAATCGGTACAATGTTATGTCAATAATAATAGTCTAATATGTCTATCACTATTTCCCAGATCCCCATGTGACATCTCTAAATGGCTTTTTTTATGCAACTAGCAGTCCAAAACCCAAAGTTAGGGAACCTTTAGTTAAACAAAACACAGCAAATACTCACATCTGAGAAGCAAGTGTTTTTGGATTGATTTGCCAAAATTGATTTGGACATTTCTGTCATTTCAACCCCAAGCTGGACCTCCACTATAAGACCAGTTTAACTGCTGCAAGCCCAGGAGCTAAATAACTATACTAAATTATCTCTTATTTTGTAACTAATTCAATGGATAAACTGACACCATAACAAATATTAGAATGTAACTACAAATACTACCGTCACTACATTTTTCCCTGAATAAAACTACTTTACAAATATGTTATTTGTGAATTTAAGATGAATAGGGATCACCAATGTGCTCAGTCAGCTCCAACACAGTGTATCAAGCCATATGCAAGTTCATGTACATATAATGAGAAATCCAAAACCCTGGAAAAAGCGCACCACATCCAACATGAAGACTGCAACGGGTTACCACACACACCAGTCGACCACAATTATTTTCTCATTCCTTTTTCTGTTTATGTTGAATCTCACATAGCTAAAGTTATGTTAGTTGGAAACATTGTATAAAACTAATTTTTCTTTCCTCTTGGTCTGAGCTGTATGAGAGTGAGTAACCCAGTAGAGCAATAGTAACTTGGTGATGCCTTGGTCGGTGTCTATTATAGTAATATACCCCATGTACAGTAGTTGGGCATCAAGTGGTTAACAGGAGATGCTGCCTGGAGTTTTACTTTACTTTTCCCTTTAGAAAACAGGATCAAAATAACATATCTGACCTAAAAAAATAGGATTTATTATTTTTAGCTATTTCAATTGGGTTTGGAAACACTTTAGATGACTCAGAAGTAAAGAAATCAGGTTATGTCTGTATCTCTCAGCTTCCAGTGTATGACTGTTGAACAAAAACAGGCCCCATGATGACAGGATTCCTCCAACAGATGATTGCGGGCCATTTTTCCCTGTTGCACCAGCCTGCTGTGTGACAGTTTTAATCCATTGGCTTTGCTGAAGTGTACAGCTCAACATTATATTCACCACAAACTCTATGAAGCACTGGGACCTCTTATGATCCCATCCAAGCCGAGACACAGTGCACCAGCACACACACACACACACACACACACACACACACACACACACACACACACACACACACACACACACACACACACACACGCAGTCCACCTGGACGTATTTTTACCATCAGCCAGTTTATGATTATCTTTTCCACTGTGGCAAACCAGTTCTGAACACCCACTGACAGAAAACCCACTAACAGATAAATGGATACATACACGCACACAGCTCAGATTTGTGTAGTATACATTCACAGTTTGTATAGGCAGACATTCATGTGACACACACATGATCCTGGGTCGCTCCTTGATGGCTGTGACTTGGCAAAAAAAGTCTTAATACATCAGGGGAGGCTATATGAAGGGAACAATTGCATGTGCACCGGCAGCCCAGACTCAGTCACATATCATTAGCTTGACGGGATACCCGAAAGGATCTGACAGCCTCCTGGCTGTGACTGGTGTGGCCCGGGGTGATGGGGACATACCTGTGGCTGCCTTGTGTACTCTGTGGGCACGTGGTGAGCACTAAGCACACGTAGCAGCTGAGGCCTGGCAGCGATGGTAGCTAAGGTTCTGGGTGTCTACGCCAGACGCCGCCTCACCATACACATCTTCAGCAATAATAAAACACACTCTTTCTTACAATTTGTTCTTATGCTCACTTTCACCGTCTCATGCTCTATCTCACTCTTTCCTGCCCATACACACACTCACATTACACAGACATGAGGATAAAACAGAAGGTGATTCTGTTGTCTGCTTAGCCGCAAGCTCAGTGCTAGCTTTGAATGCTCACCAGAACTCAATTTGGAGTTGAGTTATTAAAGTCTGCTTACCAGACTTTGTGGTTTAAATCAGAGGGTAATATGTCTTTAGATGAATAGTTTGACATTTTGGAAAATATCGGTAGTTGCCATCTTTCTAAAAGAGGTTGAAAAGATTGATACCGCTGTAATGTTTGTCCTGTAGATACATGGCTAAAACACAAAGTTGGTTAGCTATTGCTATAGCCTAGCTTAATGTAAAGACTGTAAAGAGGAGTAGCCTGACTGTGTCTTAAGGTGAAACAATCAGCATAAGTTCCCAAAATGACCCGTTATATCTTGTTTATTTAATACGTACAAAGACCATATTGTAAAAATGGCACTTGCTGTTACAGGGGGTTACAGGCTTGAGTTATATTGGCCAGGAGCAATAACTTTCTAAAATATTACTGGTTCCCCGGCACTTTCAAGGTGATGACAAGATTTGAGGAAGTTATGCTTCTGGCCAAGAAATGGCCGACACATTTACTCTTTGTTTTTGTGCGGATAAAACAAACAAGATATAATGTGTTCATTAGTTAGCTTTAACTAGCCACACGCTCCAGCTTTGTATTGAACATACAGCTAAGAATGCAGAACTATTCCTTTAACAATAAAACACTTTTCTGACTTACTTCTTGTCTCTGTCACACCTTTTGCGCACACGTTTATATATGCTTCTAAAAAAGGGGGGATTTGTCATTTTTGGTACATCCATGTGTCTTGTTTAAAATAACA